GAAAACAAACAAAAATCCAAAAAAAATTTCACACTTTGGATATTCAAGATTCAGACAATTTCTTTATAATAGAACACAATTTTAAATAGAAGTACTCTCCTCACAACAATAACACGACTTTCACTAGGACTTTACGTGAGGGTTTGATTATTTCTTTATTGGTGTAATTTTAAATGTAGTACTGAGAAACTAAAGTTCTTAAAAATATTATTTTTTCAATAAACAGTACCACTTTTAATGCATAAAAACATTACAGTTTACATCAGTAAAATTTACGAAAATTTTGAGCTCAGTACGTTGAATAATTTTGATGCAATGAGTTGCGTATAACTAAATACTACAATCCAAACACTTTTTCCGTGCAGTACTTCCAGAAAAAAAATATTATTATTTTTGTTAAATGAATGTTCACTTTTTTCTAAATATATTAAAGAAACACATAACACCAGTATTACCGCTAATCATATCAAAAAATTGCAACATTTCTATTCGCAAACAATGAACAAACCCAAGGTTCTCCTCGTCAACATCCAGGGTGGCACAAGATCGAAGATCTAATAAGTCGCACCAAAGCAGATATGATAATGATCACAGAGACATTAATGTACAGACATAACAGAGTTAACTTAACTAACTACATTACTGTAAGACACGACAGAGAAAGAAGGGACTTGCCAAAGATAGGTATATTAGCCCTCTATAAGGACACATTATCCGTATAAACTTATTACAAATAATTGCAAACTACAACCATAATTACATTATAATAGGAGACAATGAACAGCAAAAACGAAGTACTCGAATGTGCCACAACAATAGTTAACGGCAAAAAATTGCTGGAGTTAATTGAAGACAAAGAAAGTATTCTATTAAATAACAATACCCCGACGCATATATGTTATGCGAACAATACCAATGATATCTTAGACTATACATATGCTCTAGCTCTATAGTAAACTCATTCATTTTTTTCAGTGTCGGAGAGGATCATATAGAAAGTGATCATTTACCAATTTGGTGCGATTTTAACCTCACTCCAAATTATAATCAACAAATAAACAGCCCGAAATTAAAAACAAAAACGCAGACTGGACAAAATACCAGGAACTACTAAACAATAATCTGCCAGAAAAAACAACAACGTTTAATAGGGCTGAAAACGAATCAGTAATGGATAGTTACAGCTGCACAATTACAGAGTGCCTCACAAATATAGCAGAAACATATATCCCAATTATGGAAACCCCACAAATAACTCCTAAATAATATAAAAGAACGCAGAAAACTAAGAAAAATTTATATGAACGCAAAACCCGGAACTAAAAAAAAACCTCCAACACATTCAGAAACGAAATAAAAAGCCGATAACTGGGACGATTACTGCTCAAAACAAACACATACACACGGAACGAACATCTCGAGGAGCGACCGGGAAGATGGGAGTATATAAGGTTTTATTTGTGCTGATGAAATTATTGACCTTATTAAAGAATGGTTTGTCCATTGTGGGTTCGTTTGGTGTTTTCTAAATATTTCTGCTTTTTGTATGTTTGTGTTATTGTATTTTAGTGTTGGATATATGTGTTAGTTTTTATTGTTTCCCGTGAATCTTTTCAGATGAAAACAGAAGTTTTGGGGATTAACACCTGGTTAGGCTGATTGGTCTGTAGCTTTCTGGCTTATTTCCTGGCTTTTTTCCTTTCAGAAACATTAAAAAGTCCGCTAGTTTCCAAGCAGTTGGTATGTAATGTGATTTTAGAGATAGATTGATATTGCGGCTAAGTGCTCATTATCATTATTGTTTATTATTTCTAGTACTTTTATTGGTTTTTCGAGTTGTTAAGTAGTGTTATCCTGAATGTTACTACTATCCGCATTAGGAACTTCTAGAAAAAATAATCAGTTCAAGACTTACCTTAAAAAATTACCTGAAATACAAAATGGGTTCAGGAAAAAATAAAATAAAATACAAACCACAGACCATCTGGTATGATTCACAGAAACCATAGTAGACAGTTTCAATCGTAACGAATGCATTGTCGATGTTTAGAAAGCTTTCGACACTGTATAACACAACGGATTAAAGTACCAGATGTCACAAATGAATTTACCTTGATTTATTATTCGACGGTTTTCCAACTTTCTAGATAACAGAAAAGCTAGGATAAATGTATCGGGCACCTTTTGGGATTACTTTACTCAAGTAGCAGGTGTCTCGCAAGGAGGGGTTGTTAGCCCTATACTATTCATCATGTATGCGGGTGAAATGCCTCTGTCAGATCCAAATTTACATTTCTGTTCATAGAGTGCTGACAATGTGGCTATCTGGAAGAGTTTTTATACCTCAACCATAGCTGCTACAAACTTACAACCGGGTTAAATGGAATAGAAAACTACTGCAATAAATGGAGAATTAAGATAAATGTCCTCAAAACTCAAGTAATTTTGTTCACAATATCCAAATAGAAGAGTATAGAGCTCCCAAAATTATATCTGTACGGAACACTGCTACAGGTTGCCACATCAGCTAAATTCCTGGGCCTAACCTATGATTCTAAGTTAAATTGGACTAAACATATAAATGAAACAAGAAACAAAAATTTGGCAAAGAGCCAATTACGTAAGGCGTACGACTAGAAACTGAAAATGTATTCAAAATATACAAAACATACACTCATCTAGTAGTAGAGTATACCTGTCTAGCATAGATAAATGTAATCAAATCGCAAGTAAACAACTTACAGAAATCAAAAACGCAACAATCACTAAAGCATACAGAATTCCAAGAAGCACAAACACAGGCTTTTTTCATAATTATGCAAACAATAGACTACTTCCAGAAAAGCTCCTAATGGCACAGCGGTGTGTCTGCGGACTTACAACGCTAGAAACAGGGTTTCGATACCCGTGGTAGGCAGAGCAGAGATAGCCCATTGTGTAGTTTTGTGCTTAACTTCAAACAAACTTCCAGAAAAACTTAAAAATACATCACTAAAAATTCTGAAAAACTTTATCATACATGATGATAACAGATCTAAGTACCTCTCACCACTAAATCTAG